GATGCGGCGACCCCTGATGAGAAATCACGGCATGTGTTGAAACTATGGCGTGTTCTGGACGCGAAGGGCGATTTGAGGCTGAATGATTTTTAGTACGACACTGTCGACTGCGGAGAGTCATGGGTGATTGGCGGGTTGGACACTGCAGCGGGCTCGGTTTGTGCAGAGACTGATGCCAGGAGGGATCCACGGTGGGGTTGGGTGCCACATGACGCCCCCCTTCTTTGTGGTCGTGTGAGGATGCCCATGTGTGACGCCATGGGCAATGTATGGACCATGTATTACATAAACGGGAGCTTCGTGTCCAGGCACCTGAACAGGGAGGTGACTGAAGAGGAGAAGATGACGATGGCTTGTCCCACAGCTGCTGCTTGTTGTTTTTCGCCGCCTCTTCGGAACCCTGTGGAGCTCGAGGTGGCAGAGGGGAAAGTGTTCGTGGGTGAGCAGGGGTACACATACACGCATGCTAGAGGGGAGGAAGCTACTGCTGATGGATTGTCCCCGCTGGTATGGAACCCGCCCAACCTGAAGCCTGACGTTCTGGCTGCCATGGACATTACGGCCCATGTCATCCCTGAGGGGCAGTTGCCGCACCATGTGGCCCCTCAGAAGTATGGATATCGTGTGAATTGGATGCCAGGATGTCTGCATCCTGCAACAGTTGATGGCAAGGTGACCATGGCGGCCAAACTGCAGACAGGCCATTGGTTGCCCTTGGGGTGGATGCATGCAGGCATGGTGGAGCAGTGGCAGTTCCTGGTGGTACTGGCACGTGTGTCCATTTTCAATGCAGATGTGAAGGAGCACGTTCTGGTTGTGGAGCATGCAAAGCGGTGCTGGGAGACGATAAGGGAGGAGGACCGTCAGATGGTGTGCATGGGTTACGACTCCATGCCAGAGCAGGGGATGTGGTCCATGGTTGAGGGGAGTCCTGGTGGGCAAGGGCAGGGCAATGGGGAGAACATGTACATGGCTCACATCCGCCGCAGGCATGGATGCTCCGCCCATGTTGGTTGGGTCCCGCCCGTATGTCGCCTGACATACGAGCAAGGTGGAGAGATGACGATTATGTTCAAGGACCCGCTTGGTTTGCCGTTTCTGCTGACGTACTCGGATGGCCTTCTGCGAGACATTCGGTATATGGTGCACGAGGACACCCGAGGTGGACTTCAGAGGCCGGGACAGACGGAGGAGACGCGCCTGGGGCATCAGGGTGGTTTGTCTGCTGAGGTGGAGGGCCCACGTGGCAGTGAGCGAGTTGCAGGGTGCTCTGCAGCGCAGGCTGACGTGGCCGGGCCCAACAACACTGCGATGTCCCACAGCCCGAGGAAGGTGAAGGGGGTTGTGTCGAGGCCACAGAGGGGGAAGCCGGCTGGTGACAAGCGAAAGAAGAACCCCCAGCCTGAGCCATAGACCGGTGGCAATGCAGATGCGCCTCGTCGGGTCCAGAGACGCCGCAGACACCCCGGGATGGCAGCTCTGACAAAGATCAGGAGGCTGCAGCGATCCACCGACCTTTGTATCCCTTTCAGGCCCTTCTTGCGCCTCATCCGCAAGGTGATGGAGAAGGACATTTCCCCTGTTCAGGCCGTGAGGTTCCAGATGACGGTCGTGCGTGCTTTGATGGAGGCTGCGGAGGCTTACCTGGTCGCCAACTTCGAGAACACAAACGAAGTGGCGATCCACTCGAAAAGGGTGACCATCCAGGTGAGGGATATGAGACTGGTGGATAGGTTGACGAAGCCTCGCTGGGTGGAGAAATATCAGGGGATATTGGACGAGAGGGC